ACTATTTGTTTTGATTTAAATTGCAATTTTATGGAAATTCAGCAATAAAAAATTGATAAAAAAAAATATAATATTGTATTGGCTGAAAATGGAAAACTGGTCTAAAAGTATTAGACCAAAGAGGTTGGAAACAGTACAGGTTTTAACTTTGTGTAACAGAAAAGCGATTACTTCAGTGTTGATTGCTTGAGAGCCTATGGTGTTCTACAGTCATTGGTGGTTGACCTCAGATAGAGTGCTTTTCTTTATACTGATAGACTATATTAACCATTTAATAATATTTTCGTATCGTTATCAAGTGGCAAAATTAGCAGTTTGTCGTCATTCATGGTCTGCTTTTTAACAGCGGTGAATAACTTTTGGATTGAAAGCGAAGGGAATATGCCATCGTCTGAATAACTGAAGATCATAAAAAAAGACACAATATGCCACCGTTTGCTTTACTATAGAGCAAGAAAGTAACTATATTACAGTACCATCCGCATCTCTAAGGGTCAAGAAAGCAGGCACATTTCCTTTTTGTAACCTTTTGTTTGGTTACAGCACCGTCTGCATTAGTAGAGGTCAAGAGAATATATCTATTTCGTCTGCATTACTAAAGATTATGAAAGTAAATACATTACGTGATCGTGTGCTTTACTAAAGGTAAAAAGGCACATTTCGATCTCGTCTGCATCGTTTGTTTGGTCACACCAACATCTGCATTTGTAAGGGTGAAGAGAGTATATCTATTTTGTCTGCATTACTAAAGGTCAAATTAGTAGGCACATTACTAAAGATCAAGAAAGTAGGCAAATTACACCTCTACCCTTGTTTCTGAGGATTATATTGCTAGTTTGGTCACATCACTGTCTGCGCTAGTAGCGGTCAAGATAGGAGATCTATTTCGTCATCAGCACTGAGAGTCAAGAAAGTGGACACATTACTCCACAAGCAAAATATATACTATGTCTATACATTAATGTGGCTGTTCTTTATGTATATACAAAGTTTTCAAACAATACGTTATTTAGTTTAAGTTGCTTGTAAAATTTATTTTAAGTGATAAAGCACTTCAAAACAGAAAAAGTAAAACTTCAAGAATAGTTTTACGAAGATTCCGTGTTATGTTTATAGTGAACGATGGGTTTTGCAGAATCTCGTGTAATCATGAGCTTAATCACAAAATGAAAGCGCGGAGAGTGATAAAATACGTTATATCTAAGGATTTGAAATATTAGAATATTGAATATAGTCATAAACGTATTGGTTATGTAGTCAACATTTAAATATTTTATCTCGCCTTTTAGCAGTGATTAGAGACTTTACCAACATATTTTATCTAGAGCAATATTCTAACTTCGGACTGGTAAAATTAAAACAAATTGGTTATTAAAGCACGGGTTCAACAAAAATTGTATTGGCAAGAAAGAAAAAGAATAGAAATAGTAGATATATATCTATTAGTGTTTGTTTTTTGCCATTGATTATATGCAGGACTGGTTTGCTTAAGATCTCTATATTCTTAGAAAAAAACTAAAAAAATATGTTAGGGTTATTACTTTTTTGTCATCAAAAAAGACTTATCATCAGAAATGTTATCAAAACATTTCCTTTACATACTTTTTTAGTTTAGTTGGAATATCTCGCGTTATTTTATGGGTCCCATTTCATGATTACTGTATACGTACTAACAATCAGCTGATTTAACAGTGAATACTTTATCAAAGTTAGCTTTTTTTGAACTCCAAAACGGATAAGATATAATTACTATGAAATGAATGAAGTGAAAGTCAATGAATTCGAATCGGATAACATTCACGTTTAAGCAAGAAAATAGCTTACCCTAGAAACAAAATCAATACTCTACGAGCGATATAAAATATCTACACATGTACTTTCACAGAAAATTGATATGGAAAAAGCTCACCTGTAATAATCAATATAAAATTTGGTGTGATACCTAACTGTTTAATACTGATGTATATATATAGTTTAGAGAAAGATATAAAAAAATGCGTTATGTCGTATATCTTTGGGCTGCAACGCTTAAACGTTCTCTTATATTAGAACCGAAATTCTATCCACACGTATTTGCATAATTTATGAGGAACTTAACAGGAATTTTGCTTAGCTGATAATATTTGATAAATTGATGCATCTGTGGTTGTCTTTTAAAAATACCGAATAAACTCTGGAAAATGTAACTACATATCTAGATTAATTGAACTAAAGTGTTGTTCATAGTTTCTAATTAAAACGGATTACGAAAAAAAATATGTACATTTTTGAAGTTTTTTTATAACCTCATCGATAACAAAAAGATATTATTAACTAGTGATATTATTCTGATATTATTAACAACTAACTAATGATTTTTGCGGTCTCTGCCATAAAAATTAGGAAGAATTTTCAAATTCTTGCACATTGTATAGAAAAGCAAGATCAAAATTCTTGTGAGGATTCTGGAAAACTGAAATTGAAAGCCTCACAATTTTCAAAGAAAATTGATTTGTTTAAATAATACAGATTCTTCTTGAAATAGGAATACATAGCCACTAAAATTAAATTATTAGAAAGAAGGATATTATAAAATGTGAATCCTAGGGTATCTCAACATATCCGTAAACAATGTACAGAGTCTTTTACAATATATAATAATTATTTTATAATATTAAAATACTGTTCTGTATTTTTAAAACAAATGCTTAATTTCTATAAAAACTAATTTTAAGTAGAATTAATTTTTTTTTGGCACTATTAATCTTTTTGATATAAAGCTGTTGTATCGCTCATCAAATTAGTTATCTCTACACTTTTTATTTTGTATAAAATTATGCAAAATGCAGTTAACACAATATCACCTTTCAGGTGCAAAACGTTTGTCGTGTCTCACGACTATCAGAAATCATAATGTCTCATAATTTTATAGAAATAAAATATTAAGAAAAAGTTAGTTTAAAGTTATTTTAACCTCAACACTTCAAACAATTTAACTAAGCAAAAAAAAAAAATTCTAAAATAGAGTCTTAGAAAAAGGCTAATGATTTTAACCACGGGGTAAGTCGAAATTTATGCCACCTTCTGCCTGTGCAATTTTCTAGTTAAGAAAATATTTCAATAAAATTTGAAATTATAAGTTTGGCA